ATTATTTAAATTTTCTTAGTGCTTTTCCCCCTGGAATTTAGCCAACACACAGCACCCTGCATAATAGAGGAGTTTGGGGCCAGAGACACAGGGCAAACCTTTCCTCTTACACAAGAGCAGCAAGTTTTGCTTTCCAGGCAAAGAAGACAGGACCAGCTACTTTTAATGCCCCATCCAGATGATCGAACTCATTCCCACTGAATTGCTGGAGACTCGGTTTAACTCCCTCAGAGGGTTTAATGATTGAGTTGATCTTTCTGGAACCTCTGTTTCCAGGGAGTCAAGGTGTTTCAAATCCAATGGCAAGACTACAAAGCCATCACCTTTAGCTGCCTCAGCTTTCTTCACACATCCCATTCCTCTAACCTAGATTTTTATCTAGATTAAAACACAAATTAAATGAGTTTGTTTGGTCTCCACCTAGTTCTAAGTGACTGCATCACAAAGCTTAGTATTTTTGCACAATTGAATCTGAGGACTAGAAGAGAAGGGACTGCGGGTCAGGATTAGGTGCATTAACTTTATTTTGAGAGGCGAAATAGCAGAGACTGCTGTAGGAAAGGACAAAAGGACATCTGCAGAGCTGAAGTTGGGAAATCAGGACTGGAATAGCAAGGGATCAGGCTTGATGTGTGTGACAGAGCTGGATGGTACACACCTGCACATTGCCTGATTCTCCTTATGCCATGTGTCCTGAGCTCTCATGAGCGTTGAACTAAAAAACTGGAGTGAGCAGTCTGCAAGCCTGTCATTTTTTGTATTTGGCTAACAGAAGAAGCTGCTCAGTGGCTGGGAACAAGCAATGGTGACCAGCTTGTTTTTGCCCTGTTGCAGGTGCGCTATGATGATGAGGTGAAACGGGTGGTGGCAGAGCCTGTGGAGCTGGCTCAGGAGTTCCGCAAATTTGATCTGAATAGTCCCTGGGAGACATTTCCTGCCTATCGCACAGCTCCAGAGACCCTGAAACTAGAAGCAGGAGACAAGAAAGGAGATGCAAAATAGCAGCAGGACAGAGAGGATGCTGGGAACTTCCTGTGTGGCACTGACCTTCCTGTTCTACCTTAATATTTATATGAATAAAACCTGACATGAGACCCTTGTCTGTGAACTAATTAATGGAAAATGCAGTTTTCTAATTAGCTGAAAAGCACCTGGGGTTGTTTAAGCCTTTCATTAACTGTAAAATGTAAAATCACTAACGGGGGAAAAAAATCATAAACTGGGTGTGGGACTCCTATGAGGAAGAACTAGGGAGGGGACTAGAGCATAGAAAAGAAAAGGGGAGCAGATAATGCAGAACTCAAATGTCCTCTTTCTATTTAATTAACTGGTGTGGCAAGTACTTAACCTGTTTACAGGGAAACATTTTAATTAAAAAACCAAAATGATACAAAATAAACAAGGCATACATTAAATGGATTGAAAACCGGCTAATTGACAGGTCTCAACATGCAATTACAAATAGGGAATTATCGAGCAGGTGAGTTTCTAGTGGGGTCCTGCCAATCTCAGTTCTTGGGCCTATGCTATTTAACATTTTTATCAATGACCTGGAAGAAAATATAAAATCATCGCTGAGAGAGTTTGCAGATGAGACAGATTGGGGGAAGTGGTAAATAATGAAGAGAACAGGTCACTGATACAGAGTGATCTGGATCACTTGGTAAACTGGGCACAAGCAAACTATTGTGTTTTAAAACTCATAATATTAATGTGAAGTTATACACCTTGGCTTACGTTCTTTGTTCCTTTCTTACAGGTTGGGGGACTCTATCCTGGGAAGCAGTGACTGAAAAATAATGCAATTCTTGAATGTGTAAGGAGGGGAATATTGAGTAAGAAGGCTATATTAGCTTTTTATTTGGCACTGGGTGAACTGCTGCTGGAATTCTCTGTCCAGTGTGACAATTATTAAAGGATTAGAAAACATGCCTTATAGTGACAGACTCGAGCTCAATCTGTTTAGCTTAAGGAAGAAGGTTAAAGGGTAACTTAATTACACTCTATAGGTACCTATGTGAGGAACAAAATACGATAATGGGCTCTTCAATTTAACATTTGGAAGTTGAAACTAGACAAATTTGGAAACAAGGTGCAAATTTTTAACAGTGATGATAATTATCCATTGGAACAATTTCCAAAGGTTGTGGTGAATTCCCACCACTGGCAATTTTTAAATCAAGATTGGATGTTTTTCTAAAAAATATGCTCTAGTTCAGACAGGAATTACTTCAGGGAAGTTCTATGGCCTGAGTTATTCAGGAGGTCTGACTAGATGATCACAAACGTGACTGTCCTTAGAATCTATGAAATAAAAGCCTAGAGGTAAAATATGTAGAGGGAGGATATGCTTTCTTCCCCACTGTGTGCTCCTGAGCATTGGTTTTGTTTTGTTTTGGCTTGGCTTTCTTTAGGCTTCTGCAAATCCTTGTATTTGGGACTTGACTTAGAGCTGCCTTTTCTAGTGAAGGACAGTTGTCTTCAGCATAGTCATGAAAAGTTATGACTTCTCTTGTGAGAGGGAAGCAGTAGTCAGAGCAGTCAACAGGATTTCTAGGTTTTATACAATTCCCAGCTTTGCTTTGAGCCTATACATCCCACCATCTGAACTAACTAGGTAGAAAATATTCTTGTGGCCACAGCTAGAAACATGACATATAAAACACATCCAGTGTTGTTGTATGGTAGGAATATAGAAAGCTATGGGACAGCATGTATTGTGCTAGAAGAAGTAGTTTTCGGCAGTTTATCCATTATTGCAGATAGCACTTCACAAAGCACGCTCCCTGCTGCAACCCCACAAAGTTGCTTGGGGCATAGTACCGTGAATCACAGTACATGTAACATTATCAAAAGGTTACTGTGATAAGCCAGAAAAATGAGGGTTGGTCAGTGAAACAGAAGGAAAACTCTTGCATAAGTGGGAGTGGGGAGCTTGAGTGAGATGGATAAGAAGTGAAGGGCCCTGCCAAGGTAAGACATAATGCTAGGACTGCTAAAGGACAGTGGTGGTAGAGTCCAAACAGCTATCCTAATGGAGTCAGAGCACAGCACTTGGCTTAAGGGAAAACTCTTGACTATCCAGAGTATTTACTGAGGAAACTAGGGTTATGACTGGGGCCAAATCCCTTCTGGTGAGAGAAAGCTGGGGGTTTATAACAGTGTAAAGCCATGCTTGTAGCTGCAGCCTATTCACTCATCCATGCTGTCCTTGGAGACTACAAGGCCTCACTTAGTGCTACTCAGATTAGTGGCTAAAGTGCTGGAGGAGCTGGAAGGGGCACTATGTAACAATAAGGGAGAGGAGTCATGACCTAATGTTGGTTGGACCAGTGAGAGATGGATTTGTGTTGCCTTGAAATATTTCAAGTTCTGTGGGAAATGTACATTTTTCCTCCACTGGGGAGCATGAACCCAAAGTTATCCAGGGCTCAGGTGTCTTCAAAGCCCTAGTAGAGACTGGTAGATCCCACTGGAGGAACAGACCAACTTTCTTCACAGCAACTAAGTTTGAAATGCTTTGGGATTGCTACTGACCCTGACCTATTCTAGCATGAATTAGCAGAGCAAGGCCCAGTGCAGTGATCTGGTCAACTCTAATTTACAGATGTGCAGAAGAGGAGCAGCCAGAGAATGCTTTTAGCTTTACCTGAGCTTCTGTCTTGAAATCAACAAAGAAAAAGTATAAACTATAACTAAATACCCTCCTGCGGCAGTGGTTCTCAAACCGATACGTGGAGAATTTGCTGGTGTTCCACAGGGAACTACCTGGTCACATACTGCCAACTCCCCTCTCCCCCCCAGTGCTAAATTACATTAAAATCACCTAAATATTTGCCTAACACTAATTTCGTGTGCCAGCAACTGCTGTAGTTATTGCAAGCAGAGGATGTAATGGCGAAGGGGAGGTGTGCACAAGACCATCTCTACTACAATGTTCACTCTCCATAAAAGGTTGAGAGATCCCATCATAGATTAAAGGGTTTAATGAGGAGTAACTGGAGCTGAAGCAAGTGAGGAAGAGTAGCCTGACTTCAGAAATCCAAAACAGTTCCCTCAGGAGAGAGATTCTGAGCCTCCCAATTCCTAAGCTACTGAATTTTCTGTGGATCACAAATACCTCTTCCATTGGGTGAGCCTCAGAACAATAGTCTAACTGATTCTGGTGGCAGCATATACAGCAGAATGGAATCCTCTGTCTTCCTGCTAAGAAAGTTCTACCTCCTGTCTTCCTAACCTAGTGGAGAGAAGGTTTTTTTTCCAGAGGCCACATAGCCGTAGCCTGAGTGGGATTGTAAATGAGGAAAGGGGGGCTGTCAGGGGTTGCACAGGGGTAGAGACCTGGTAACAGCTGGGGTGGGATCTAGGTGGGATTTTGTATATACAACTACAAAACTGAAGGCTGGTTTTGTTTGTTGTGATGCAGAAGTCAGTCACACAAGTGGGCAGTGAGTTAACTGAAGGCTGATTGGCTTTTGTCTTTGTTGTCTGACAGATCATTGTACTAAACTTTCCCTCCAGGAGGGTTTCTACTGGAAAGAAAAAATGACCTTTCCTTTGTCAGCCTGTATATCTTGGATGCTGTTGTCCTGCTGTGGAGCCTATACAGACTGCCAGCCCCATCATGCTGTGACATTTCAAGCTTGTTTTCAAAATTCCAAACTCAGTAAATGGAAAATTTAAAAGAAAGCCAAGGAGCTTGGGCGGGGGGGTATCCACACTCTACAGGGAAATTAGATTAAACTCCAGTTTGTCACATGTTTAAATGGAAAATTCCTTGGAATTAGAAACTTCCCATTAAAATACATAGGTGGAAAAATCAGAATTTGGAAAAGAGGCTTTAAGAATTCTGCCAAAAACTAAACAACAAAGTCTTAAAGTTTCCAGATTGCAATGGAAAATACCCTTTGGGAACAGAGAATTCAACAGCAGGCCCTTCCCAGGACTGGAGTCAGAGAGAGGGAGAAGGGAGGATCCATTCCAGCAGAGGCTGCTGTGATCAGAGAAAGGGAGGAGAGAAGCCACAGTAAACAGTTCTCGCTTCACCCAAGACATTTATCTACAGAACGGGTGGGGACTCTTACCTGGCATGGCACTCCTGCTCCAGCTGCAGCTCAGAGCCTGGCTGTGGACAGCACTGGTCCTCTATGTGTTTGCTGGATCCTGGAGGCAGACAGGTAGGAGGTGCAGCTGCAAGGGAGGAGGCTGCTCTGCAAAACAAATGTGTTTGTGCAGTTCCACTGGTGCTGGGTTTTCCCTAATTCCCCAAATATGCTGGTGGGCCAGTTGTACTGACAAAAACAACTTTCTGTGATAGAAAGCAAATGAATTGTGCTCTATGCTAGACTCTATTCTGACTGAGGGAAGAGGGATGGCAGAGTTTGTCTCCAGAGAAGTTAAGAGTGCTCTACTCCTGACATATACTACTTATTTGTCCCCCCAAATGCCTTTTATGCCCTTACACTACATCCTTCAAAATCAGAGGATCACCTGCTGAATTATTTCCTATGAAATACCCAGATGTCCCCTGGGTGAGAAACCCACTGCCTGTTAGTGTGAGGCAGACCACTTGGAGGCAGGAGGAGAAACTCCTTTGGCCCCTGCTGAAGAAAGCTTTTCCAGGTGCCTTTACAAGGCTGTTGATTAGGAAATACCGTGAGGGAAGCCTTGTGAGAACAGTTTCTATTGGGCCAATTATTTTCATACATTTCTTGTTATGTTTTGTTTATGTATGTTTTACTCTACCTTCTACACTGACACTGGAATGTATTTTTAAAATATTAGTAAGAGTGATTTGGGGGTTATTTTGTTCGTTCATTGAAACCCTGCAGTTGGCTGGATGTTCCCCACTATAGAGATCTGTGCACTTAGCTGTGGTCAGAATAGGCAGAAGGCGAAATGGGAATCAGGTAGCCACTAGGAGAAGTCCAGAAAAGCAGCTCTCAGAGGGTGCAGTATCGTTACCTGAGCCATAAGCCTTGCTGGAATGTGCATTGAGGAGATGGAAACAGCAGCTTGAATCCCAGCTAACATTCTGAAAGCACATCTGGCTTTGATCAGGGAGTCTGCAGCTGTGTAGAGAAATGAACCTTCCCTCAGGCAGAATGGAAAGCAGTATCCATCTCTGAACAGCTCCTACCATCCCCAGGGGGAGCTTTCCTCCAGAATGGAAAGTTGGAAGCTGGTTTTGGTAGCAGCACTATACAACTAAAAGATTAAATCACATTTCTGTTTATTAAGTGCACCTGCTAATTTTAACACTTGGGATCCCACAGAAAGATATGCTGAGTACTTATGGCTAGTTTACCCAACATCAGCTCTGCCTCCTTCCTCCTCACGTGAGGACCAGAAGATTTCCCCCCACCGCCCCAAAAAGACAGCCAGCCTCCCATTTCCTCTCCCCTGCTGCCAGCACCGCTTTTCTGCACAGAGAAATTCTGTGTTCCATGCTGGTTGCCTCCCAATTCTGGCCCACCCAATGTGACCCTGTTTCCTCCTCCCTGGCCTGAAGGAGTCTGGAACTGGTAGAAGGGGAGCTAGTATCCATTAGCACACAGGCCAAGAGAAGAGGGAGGGCTGTGCCTCAGAATCTTAGTTTAGTGCTACCTTCCAGTGGCCAAAAACTCTCCCTCCCTGATGCAGTGTTCACCTCCCTCAGCTTAAATCCCCTTGAAATGAGCCAAGGCCCCAGGTGACATCCACCCAGGAATTAGCTGGTGTCCTAATGGTTAATCATTTCACAGCACAATATGAATTCCTGGAGGCTGATGCTACAAAACAGTCACTGAAGAAGATCAATTCAGAATCCTTCTCAGACCAAATGGGACAGATACAAATCCCAGCACAGAGGGTTTTCTCACAGGCTTACCAAAGCTGATACTTTTGCTCCCTAACATCCCAGCTCCAGAATGATACTGGCTGGGAGTAAGGGGTCAATGTCCTGAAACCCTCACTTCGCTTTCTTTAACTTGCTCTATCTCCCTGATAAAACCCCAATTCTGCTCCCCTAAATCCAATGGTTAGACTCTTTGGCACTTAAGGTACATCTACACAGCAGCTGGGAGGTGTAATTCCCATGGTGGGTAGACATACACGTTAGCTTTGTTCAAGCTAGTGTCTAAAAATAGCAGTGTGGCTCTGGCGGTATCAGGGATGGCTAGCCTGAGCTGCTGCAGAATTACACCTCCCAGCTGCTGTATAGTTATACCCTTAGATACCACAGGCATAGGCACCTCAGCAATATCAAAGATAGACAGACAGACATGGTTACTGAGAGACAATAGGGAAGATATGCTAAGCTGTTGCTCGCTGAAGCTCTGTGGCTGTTTAATGTTTTCCAGATGGGCAACTTCACACGGACCACCATGCTGATGTGAATGTGTTTCATAACAAGCTGGAGGATGCCAACGTCATGCTAGAGGTTATTTGGGTTATGTTCTGGGGCCTGTGGGAAAGGATGAGAGTGTGTGAGCTTCTGTGAGGGCTAGGGGTGGGAGATCCTGTCCATTTAAACACCCAAATGTTCCGCTAGTTCTCATTGTTTTTCTATTTCAGGAGACTCTAGAAGATACCTTAGTATACATCTCAGCAAAGTCACTGCCGTGTTGAATGAGACTAGTGAGTAGGGTGACCAGATGTCCCGATTTTATAGGGACAGTCCCGATGTTTGGGTTTTTTTCTTATATAGGCTCCTATTACCCCCTGTCCCAATTTTTCACACTTGCTGTCTGGTCACCCTACCAGTGAGGTCCAATTAGTCCAACATCCTATCTCTGTTGGTAGCCAGCACCAAATGCTTCAGAGGAAACCCCACAATGGATAATTATGGAATAACTTTCCTTAACCCCTGTCAGTTAGTGGTTGGCTTATGCTCTGAGGAAGGAAGGTTTAATTATGGCACTTTTAGAGGGGTGAGTAGGGGAGTAATAAGTGAAAGGGACAGGCCATACTGTAGTAGGAATGCTTTTTCAAATGAACGGAGAGAAAGCAGTTAGGAAGGAGCCCACTGAGCAAGGACAGAAGGTAGCCAGCTTGGTGCCAGGGTTAAGGGGTAGACTTACCTGACTTCCTGGTCAGCACAGTCCTTGATGGGACAATAGGGGATACCCCATGTTGCTGAAGCCAGTGTTGGTCCCAGGATATT